CCCCTCCTTCCCAATATGGGGAGGTGGGGAGCGAAGGGGGTGGTTACATGTATGTATGCATGGAGGGAGGGGGAGAGAGAGAGAGAGAGAGAGAGAGAGAGAGAGAGAGAAGGGGGAGAGCCTAGTGAGTTTCTTCCTTGGGCCCATATTCCTCTTTGATGTACATTAGCAAGTGCATCCATAGGCTTCTGTGTGTCCTCAATATTTTGTATGCCTTTCAATTTTATTTAGCCAATTAAAATTTGCTAAGTGACCACAAAGTACACCAAGTTCATGTTCCATTCTGGATTTTATTACTTCATGTAAGCTATGTGCACACACATGTACCTGGCTGCAGTTACAGGGTTTTAAGGGCTTAGAAGAAATATGAAATCTGTGTTGTTATTTTGTCCAATAGTAAAAGTTTTAAGGAATTCTGGACCTCTGTGAAGTGGTGGGATAACAGCCTTCTCTGCCACTTACTCAAATGCAAGTTTTCTTGTGAAAATGGTTTCCTCTGATTAAGGGGGGATTAAATCTTGGTTCCTCATCCAAGTCTGTTTCTTTTCAATATGTTTGCTTAGGGTGTAAAAAGGATTCATTGATTCCCATACTCACTGGTGCATGAGGAACCCATGGAATCAGTTCCTGCAACACATGTTTGTTTTCCTTCTCCCCAGTTCTGGTTTAATGATTAGGTTTGTGTTTCATTGTACTTCTCCCAGGCTGCCATGGATCTGGGAAAGGGGATCCTTGTTTATAGACAATATTGTGGAGAAGACTCAGGGATGGAGCCATTCCCAGAATGCTCAGAGGCCTTTCTCATTTCTCCTCTGACTTCCACCCTGGATGAATCCTTGCCCTGTTCCTGGTCTTTCCTTTGTATCACATGGCTCCAGCCTGTCAAGTGGAATGAAAATCAGAGAGTTTGAACTGAGCTTTCCAAGCTTCGGAAAGCTTTTGTGGGTACAAAGTAAAAACTGAAGGCTAGCAACAATCATTATCATTGATAATATTTGTTATTACCAACTTATTTAAAATGAGTCCAAAAAATTAACCAGGGTTCTGGCCACTTGCACATAAAATAAGCAGCAGAGTAATTAAGAGTATAAAGTTTTAATGAAAAGGCCAAAGCTCTTCCAGGGACCTTGCTCCCATTTTGCCCTGGACTAAGCTAAGATGCCTTCACCGCCTTTATATTCTGGAACTATTTGGACACTCCTAATGTAGCTTGTGACAAGGACAGGAGTAGCTCTTGTCCCCATTCTCCAAGGAAGTTTCTTTTAAAGCTATTGTGTAGGAAATGACTGCTGGGTGCCAAACACTTTACATCCATGGTCTTATTTAATTTTCACTGCACCGCTGGGGATTACCTATCAGTCTCTTCATTTTGCAGATGAAGACACTGGGCTTGGGGAGGTGAGGTGCTGGAGCAAGACTCCATGGCTAGCAAGCAATTGAGGAGGAGAGATTTGTACCTGGGTTCATCTGACTCTGAATCCTCTGTACTTTCTGATAAACCAGAATTCTTCTTTCCTTCAGTTTTTCTAGCCTTATCATTTCTTTCTAGCCACGTAGGTCTCCTTTTCAGACTTGGGACTAACAGGGAAATCATGCCTTGCCATATCTGATGCAGAAATAGCAAATACTATCAGCAATATTTCTACCTAAGAGTTGAGGACGGAAGAGGAAGGAAAGAGGCTGTTTCTCTTATCTATAACTGTCATGGGTTCCTCAACACTCAGAGTTGGGGGAGAGCGAATATCTGGTGTTTCTGATTGAATTTATTTTAAGAGCCTTATCTCCCTTGCTGTCAACATACGAAAGCGGGTGGATTAAGAGAAAGGTGATTTCTCCATCTTTGGAGATGGGGCAGGTGTGGGAGAAGTAAGGGGTGTGGCTCTATGTCGCCCCTTGTCTGCTGTTAGCCTAGGAGGCCCTGCGTGAGCCGGGAGCGAATCTTGGGCTTGGATGGTTACTCGCCGCAGGGAAGGTTTTTCCCGGAGCGCCTTGAACGCGGTAAGATCTGCTATGCCTTGAAGCGTGACTCCGCGTCAGCACCGCGGACAGCTCCCTCCTCGGCTGTGGCCTGGGTCTTGTACCCCGCAGCGTCCCGGGCCGTCATAGAAACCGACGATTCGGAAGTGGAGGCGGATGGGCGCGGGCCCGGCTCCATTTAGGTTCGCTTCCTCCAGTTGTTAGAAACCGTGGCTGGAAACCTCCCTGTGCGCTGTCGGGCCGGCCGCGCACACTTGGCGTGGCGGCGTCCCCTCTCCAGTTCCGAAGGGGCCGGCTCGGTTTGTGGTTTTCCTTTGGGTCCGGCGTCTGGGCTCCTTTACCTGTCCTTGGCCTAGGTGAACCGCAGCCGCCTGGAACGGAGATGCTAGTGGAAATGCTGTTCTCCGAGCGGTGATAGATCATGCACACGGGTGACACCAGTTTAACCAATAAAACAATTTGAATCAATTAGCCGGCTGAGGAGAGTCCTGACGTGTAAAATGCATGTCAGCGCGAATAGGAAAGCACTCACCAGGCCCCCATCAACCTCCTCCTGCCACCGCAGGCTCCTCCCTGCACCCGCACCTGCTCACGGTCCCAGAGAGAACAGGGACTGACAAAGACACCTTGGGGGGCCAGCAAGACACTTGTCCAAACTGATAGGGAACAAAGGGCCAGAGAGATGGTGGGTGGGCAGAAAGCTGCTCCCAGATCCAACCCAAGTAAGCGGGCTGGAATCCGCTGTCCATCTTTCATTTAAATAGGGGGATTCTCCCAGAACTGGAGTTTGCTTTAAACACCTCTTCTCCACTTTCACCCTCCAAAAATACAACTGGCCTGAACTTTCAGACACCCACACTCCTTGGGGAAATAAAATGCTGTGCTATTCTTGGAATTATTAGGGTGAAAGTATTTAACCACTTATTTCTATTTCCAGGGAAACTTTTTCTTTTAAAATTAAATTACAGGCTTGTATGCAGTAAGCCCCCAAAGGAGTGTGTACATGTTGATCCTTGTATTCAGGTAAAGAAGTAACTACAGGTGCCCCCCGGTGTGGATTCAGTCATCAGGGTAATCTGCGATGGGAGGGAAAGCAAACGTTTGCCAGTTCCTCTTTTCAAACAAAGATGTTTAAAGACACTTGTAAACACATCATAAATAAATAGGATCTGTAAGGGGAAAGTGGGCTTGGGGGTAAAGATACAACAAATAGCAAACTGAGAGCCCACATTTCTTCCTCCCTGGTGGCAACCAGGATTCTCCCGGGGTACATTAGTACTGGGAACTCTCATTTCTCTCAACTTCCAGGTTTTCTTTCCAGGTGGCTCAAACTTGCTTTCCAGCTGCCTGGGCAAGCCATGCATTTGTTCTGTGGGAGCCCCTGACCCCAGAGAAGAAGAGGCAGGGCAGCGGAGAAGCCGCAGGCCTGGCCCTGAAACAGCCAGAGGAGTGCAGGGTATGAGTGGCATTCTTTTGGCGAGTGAGCTGGGCTGGCAGCAAGTGGGAGTTTTCCTGCTTAGGCTGGGAACTTTCAGGGTATTGAGGAGGGAGTGCCAGGGTGATTTCATCTCCTTAGGACAGAGACCAATTTGTGCCATTAATGCCTTTAGAAACTAGGAGATTGGTGGGAAGTATTTTGCCTCCTTTTGAAACTTACGCTGAAACAAATGTTATCATTTCCACCACTATGAAACTGCTTTCAGGATATTAATTGAAAACAAGCGCAACTCCTGAGCAATAAACCCCCCACATTTTGGTTACATTTCCTCTCCTCCGATTTATGAACCTGTGAAGTGTTGACTTCACTCCTGTAGTTAGCAGTGACTTGCTCTTGGATGCTATGACAGAGTCTAGTTGGGCTTCAGGCTGGGTGGGACATTGTTGCAGCATTTCCACAAAGTAAAACTCCCCAACTCAAAGCCTGTTTCTCAGCAGACAGCAACGAAAATTCAGCTCTGGCAGAGAAGGAAATGCCTAAAGGAGGCCCCACCCCCACCCCCACCCCCAGCAGGTAAGATTGTTAGAATGTCCTCTGAATAAACAGCTTCTTTCCTCTCTGATAAAGTAGCCAGTGGCCATTTGGGCTCTTTACAGCTGGTCAATGCGTAGGCACTATAGTGACACTTCATTAATATCCTAGGGTGTGCCTCACTTTGAGCAAGCCACCTGGGAATGGTTCTTTCTCATCCTGCTTATGCCCCCCACCCCCAACGCTTCTCCAGGGGAATTGCAACCTGCTGGAGGACTGGCCGAGATTAAGGACCACACTGCTTCCCACCCCCCACTCTCCACCCCCAGTTTCTCCTTGTGCTGTAGTGACCTGCATGGATCTCACTGGGCTGAGTAGGGTAGACGAGTGTACACATGCTCACACTGGGGTCCTCGCCCACACCACCTAAAACACAGAAGCCTGCAGGCACTCTCTCATCCTAAAAAGCAAATGTGTATGCAAAAATGGAAGCACTCTTCGTGCTTCTTTCCAGGTGTTCAGACTGGGCATCCGCCGTGGAAACTTCTCTCCTTTTTCTCATTTCGCAGCGCTTCAGATGAGACGCTGAAGCGACTCTGTGGCCCGGGCTGCCTGTGGATTCTGGAGCTTCAGAGACTCAGGGTTTGCACGGTGAAGAGGGATCGTTCGAGAAGGGGGTGACTCAGAGAGATGAGGCCAGGGGACGGCAACGGGTTCTTCCTCATCCTGCAGTTACTGTGGAGGCGTCCTTCTAGAATCCGGGGCCTCAGGATCCGGGTCCCCGGGTCGCTGGCAGACCGCACATCTTCCCACCCCGCAATCACGACTGTGGCTCCTGCGCCTTCGCTGCTTTCGCTCCGGGGTTCGGGAGGTTGTTCTCAATTGCAGGCTGGTTGGGTGGTAGCTTCCGTGCGTGCTGAGAACGGATCTCTCCGCTACTCGCTCTCGCTCTCCCCCTCCCTCCCTGTAACATGCCAGCCCTTTAATGTGGAGTGTCAGGGAGACGGTGACGTCACCCTGCCCGCTGGGTGGCGTCCCCTCGGTCCGACACGAGTTCAGAGACAGAGAAAGGCGCTGTCAGACTGCGCTCCACTTGGGGCTCGCCTGCCGCGGGTTTCCGAGCGCCCACACTTTTCTGCGGTCGGGGGAACCCTCAGCCACAACCCAGGCGGTCATTCTTCCCGGGCCGGGTTCGAACGCCATTAGCTCCCACACGCGCCGGGACCTTCGCGCGGAGCCCGCCGGAGTCCTGCCCGCTGGATTCGAGGACCCGCTTGGATGCTTCGTCTCCGAGCGCCCTCGGAAGATGGGCGGGCAGCCACGCGCCTAGAGGCACCGAGGGCTCACCAGGTACTGCTGGAAGCGGCCGGCCCCGACTCGGCGCGCAGCTGGCGGTTCGGGCTCCAGATCCCCAGCCGCCGGCTCTTCCGCCTTCGCTCGAGGGGCAGCGGCGGGTTTCGGGCGTGAATTACGTTGGGTGTCGTTGGTTCGTGAGCTGGACAGGGAAGTTTGCCGGTTTTCTCTCTCGGTCCAACTAACTTTTAATAGTCTCTCCTCTCATCCTTTGACCCAAACCTTCCTACTTGTCTCTGTTCTTCCGGAAGGGTCTGGGATGACAGCAGGGCGCATCCAGGAGGGGACACTTCTTCGGCGTCTAGGGCAGCCGGTCCCCAGGCAGAACCAGCTCCAGCAGCCGATGCTGGGCCCGCCGTGCGCCTCGCCGGAGAGCCAGAACTGGGGGTATCTCAGGGTCTTAGACACCAAGAATCTTGTTCGGGAGGGAAATAAGCATTGAGGGACCGTTTGGCGGAGCTAGGGGCTGATTGTGTCAGCCTCAGGTATCAATGTGCCTTGCACTGTCATTTACCAGCCTGTCCCCTGCAAATACTGTCTCTGATCCATCCCAAGTGGCAGGCCAGGCGCTGCTCTCCTTTGACAGCGGGGTTTGTTCAGCCTTCCCGGAGCCCGTGGAAGGTGGAAGGTAACGAGAGCTGAGAATCCAGGGGGTAGCCGGGCAAAATGGGTGGTGTGGATGTCACACAGGCCGGGGGAGGGGGCACTGGCTATGACCATTTGGGTTGAGGGGGTGGGATATCCTATCCTCTGAAATCGCTCTAGTAATAAACACCAGTGCACTTGGCCAAGAGTGGCCATTAGCAATGCCACAGCCACTGGTGATTTTCCAGGGCAAAGAATAGTCTTGGCCTATGGCTGGGCCATGGAGCTGTGTAAAGGTCACGGTTTTCCTAGGGAATGAGTCATTTAACTTAGCAGCAATGTCACCAAGATTCCTTCTGCTTGTGTTGCCTGTAATTTCAACATACTACATGTCTTCCCCATTGTGGTACCCCATTGACCGACCAGACACGAAATTAGCAATTTTACTGTATAAACTCAACCCCAGGTATGGGCCTTCAAGGCTCCCATGGATTACCGTGGCTACGGATCTTCAATACTGTGGACATACAAATATCGACACAGATAAGGAAAAAATAAGGTTGTTCATGTTAAACCAAACGTGTCTTTTAAGGATCCTAGAAATCACTCATTTCTTTACGCTATTTCTATTCTGCTGCCTTGTACCTATTCATTGTCAGAAAAATGACAGAAAAGAAACCCTTTCAGGTGTAGGAGTCTTCAAACCCTTCTTTTTATGTTACCTACCTGAATCTAGACCCACTCTGCTCAGCAAGTAAGTTTTTGAAAAACTGAAATTGAAGCAATCTGTTTTGGTGCCACAGTGTATATGTCTTGGCATACTTTTCTACTTTTCCAGAAGAATAATTGTAATTATTAACAATATTTGTAATTATTACAATTACAATTGTAATTATTAACAATGATTGTAACAAAATATCTGTTGACAAGGATGAGGGAGAAGGGAATTTCGTTTTCCTATAATGGGCTGGGTTTCCACCAGTAGCGAATTTCCCCCAAGGAGACCACAGATGCCACAAAAATCACTTTCTAAATGGTTCCGGTTTATTTTTTTTTAATCGATCTATTTTCAAGCAAATGTGGATTGTCTTTTTAAACTTGGGGTTCAATAGCTATGCCCCCGTTTCCTGTAACTTTTATGATCTATACTAGTTACAGCTGTCATTACTTTCTGGCGGGCACGCCATTTTATTCCAACGATTTCCATAAACCCGAGGACGAGGTCTTGAGATTCTTGGGAACTGACTGCTTGTCACGAATATAGCAGGTAATTTACCTTGGGTGTCTGCAAAGGAAGTACCTCCAAGTCGCTCTACTCCAGGAGGGCGACCTTGAAGGAGATGGAGAGGACTTCCCTGCCGCGGAAACTTGGCCCCTTTGCCCCGTGATAACCACGTCTTAAGCAAAGCCAGGGGGTGCTCTCACTCATTCGTTAGCGACCCCCACCCCAACCCCAGCCCGGTGCTGGACCGAAAAGGCGCAAGTCAACCTTTTTCTCCTTTCCCTTCCAGTCTCCCAGGCACACCCGGAGGGCTCGGCCCGGGGTCGCGCGGCGGTGGAGATGGCTTCCAGCCCGCTACCTGGGCCCAACGACATTCTGCTGGCGTCGCCGTCGAGCGCCTTCCAGCCGGACGCGCTGAGCCAGCCGCGGCCGGGTCACGCCAACCTTAAGCCCAACCAGGTGGGCCAGGTGATCCTTTACGGCATTCCCATCGTGTCGCTGGTCATAGACGGGCAGGAGCGCCTGTGCCTGGCGCAGATCTCCAACACGCTGCTTAAGAACTTCAGCTACAACGAGATCCACAACCGCCGCGTGGCGCTGGGCATCACGTGCGTGCAGTGCACGCCCGTGCAGCTGGAGATCCTGCGGCGCGCCGGGGCCATGCCCATCTCGTCGCGCCGCTGCGGCATGATCACCAAGCGCGAGGCCGAGCGCCTGTGCAAGTCGTTCCTGGGCGAAAACAGGCCGCCCAAGCTGCCCGACAACTTCGCCTTCGACGTGTCGCACGAGTGCGCCTGGGGCTGCCGTGGCAGCTTCATCCCCGCACGCTACAACAGCTCGCGCGCCAAGTGCATCAAGTGCAGCTACTGCAACATGTACTTCTCGCCCAACAAGTTCATCTTCCACTCGCACCGCACGCCCGACGCCAAGTACACGCAGCCCGACGCCGCCAACTTCAACTCGTGGCGCCGCCACCTCAAGCTCACCGACAAGAGCCCCCAGGACGAGCTGGTGTTCGCCTGGGAGGACGTGAAAGCCATGTTCAACGGCGGCAGCCGCAAGCGCGCGCTGCCACAGCCCGGCGCGCACCCAGCCTGCCACCCGCTCAGCTCCGTCAAAGCGGCCGCCGTGGCCGCCGCCGCCGCTGTGGCCGGGGGCGGGGGCCTGCTGGGCCCGCACCTGCTGGGCGCGCCCCCGCCGCCGCCTCCGCCGCCGCCCCTGGCCGAGCTGACAGGCGCGCCGCACGCGCACCACAAGCGGCCGCGCTTCGAGGACGACGACGACTCCCTGCAGGAGGCGGCCGTCGTGGCCGCCGCCAGCCTCTCCGCGGCCGCCGCCAGCCTCTCGGTGGCCGCGGCCTCTGGCGGCGCCGGGGCGGGCGGAGGAGGTGCGGGGGGCGGCTGTGTGACTGGCGTCGGCGTCGGCGCCGGGGCGGGGACGGGCGCGGCGGCCGGCGCCAAAGGCCCGCGCAGCTACCCGGTCATCCCGGTGCCCAGCAAGGGCTCGTTCGGGGGCGTGCTGCAGAAGTTCCCGGGCTGCGGGGGGCTATTCCCGCACCCCTACACCTTCCCGGCCGCCGCCGCCGCCTTCGGCTTGTGCCACAAGAAGGAGGACGCGGGCGCCGCGGCGGAGGCCCTGGGGGCCGCGGCCGCCGGTGCGGGCGGCGCGGGCGCAGCGCCCAAGGCCGGCTTGTCTGGCCTCTTCTGGCCCGCAGGCCGCAAGGACGCCTTCTACCCACCCTTCTGCATGTTCTGGCCACCGCGGACCCCCGGCGGGCTGCCCGTGCCCACGTACCTGCAGCCGCCGCCTCAGCCGCCCTCGGCTCTCGGCTGCGCGCTGGGGGACAGCCCGGCCCTGCTGCGCCAGGCCTTTCTGGACCTGGCCGAGCCCGGCAGCGCGGCGGGCAGCGCCGAGGCCGCGCCGCCGCCGCCGCCGCCACCGCCGCCGGGCCAGCCACCTCCGGGGGTAGCCAACGGCCCGGGCTCCGGCCCACCGCCTCCGGCCGGGGGCCGCGACGCGCTCTTCGAGTCGCCCCCGGGCGGCAGCGGCGGGGACTGCAGCGCCGGCTCCACGCCGCCCGCGGACCCCGGCGCAGCGTCCGGGGCAGGGGCTGCGGCCGCCGGAGCGGGCCCCGCGGGCGCCCGGGTGCCCGCACCCCACCACCCGCACCTTCTGGAGGGGCGCAAGGCGGGCACCGGAGGCTATCACCACTCGAGCGCCTTCCGCCCGGTGGGCGGCAAGGACGACGCGGAGAGCCTGGCCAAGCTGCACGGGGCGTCGGCGGGCGCACCGCACTCGGCCCAGGCGCACCACCACCACCACCACCACCACCACCCGCACCACCACCACCACCACCACCCCGCGCAGCCGCCGTCGCCACCGCTGCTGCTGCTGCCCCCGCAGCCCGACGAGCCGGCCTCCGAGCGCCATCACCCGGCTCCGCCGCCGCCGCCTCCCCCGCCGCCGCCGCCCCCGCCGCTGGCCCCGCAGGCGCACCCCCGGAGCCTGCTGTCCCCCGGGGGCACCAGCTGCAGCTACCCCAGCGAGGACAGCTCGGAGGACGAGGACGACGAGGAGGAGGAGGAGCAGGAGGTGGACGTGGAGGGCCACAAGCCCCTGGAAGGCGAGGAAGAGGAGGAGGAAGGTCGAGACCCTGACGACGACGAGGAGGAGGAAGACGAGGAGCCGGGGGTTCTCCTAGGGGACCCCTTGGTCGGGGGCGGCCGCTTCCTGCAGGGCCGAGGGCTGTCGGAGAAGGGCAGCAGCCGGGACCGCGCGCCGGCCGCCGCGGGCGCCTTCCCGCTCGGGCTCAACTCCTCGCGGCTGCTGCAGGAGGACGCCAAAGTGGGGGACCCGGGCGGCGCGGACCTGCCCCCGCCGCCGCCGCCGCCGCCCCTGGCCCCGCAGAAGGCGAGCAGCGGCGGCAGCAGCCCGGGCAGCCCCGGCCACCACCCGTCCCTGGAGGAGCAGCCCTCCTACAAAGATGTAAATATCCCCTTTAGGCTCCTCCGAGCGACTCCTTATGATTTCAACGCACCTTTAGGCAGAATCGGCTGTGTAGGCGCAGGAAAGATGGCTCGCGGGATTTCCCCCACGGAAAAGACACACGGCCTGTCCGGGGAAGCCTCTGCCGCCAGTGGGCTCTGGCCACGTGCGGCCGTGGCCCGCGGGGCCTCCTGGCTCCCTTATATTGGGGTTGGCTGCTGGGAGAAGTTGGGAAAGACCCCCCCTAACCCACGCGGTCTCTCCCTTAATCCAACAGCGCCTGAGCACGACTGACCCCCTCCCCTCAGAGCAGGGAGACCCCCGAGCACTCTGCATGAGTTCAGTCCCTCCTCCCACCCGGACCCCAAAATGTCTGAAAATGCCTCGGTTTTCAAAGTTGAACTCGGCTTTGGTCCATGTGCCTGGCTCACAGGGCCCTGCACGGACACAGCCGTAAGATGCTTTGCCCAGGGACGCGAAGGCGGAATCTTGAGTAAGGCCTTCTTCCCCTAGCCCGAAAGGACTCCCTGGGACCCCTGATTTAAGACCAAAGTTGAATTTAAATAGATCAGCACTCAGCGGCTCCCCTAGCGGCTCCCTCCCGGGTGGAGAGACTCTGTCCTAACCTAGTGTGGATTGGACGGATAACCCCGCGTGTGGCCCTGCAAGCACAGCAGTGGCCGGCGTGTAGCTGAGGAGTCCGACCTCTAAAGGGTAGCGGGGGCGTATGTAGTGGTGCACGTGTGTTTAACTAGGAGAACTTTGCCGAGCAGATAATCATCCGAAAATGACGTCTCCCGAGGCGCGTGCAGTCACTTTTATTGATGCTTCCTCCTGCTGACTGTTGACATTAGCATATGGTTTGATCCAGGGATTGATTTGTGTGTCTAATTCTTCTCCACACAGAATCAGAAAACTAAGGAAAATAACCAAGTGATTGTATCCACAAAGGATGACAACAACTTTTCAGGTAAAAGCAAAATGAGCCACTGTTTGTATTCCCTGCGTTTAATCATATCCGTGAGACATATGCCCACCCACCCACTCCCACCCTCCCACCGCCACCCTTCTGTGGGTTCTCAGCCATTGATTTTATGGGTTTTTTCTTTTCTTTTCTTTTTTAAAAGAGACATCACAGTTTATGTTTGAAAGGAAAGGGTTTCTGTAAGTTTCCAATCCACAGCCATGGTCCCAATAATCGTGCCGCTGTCCCCAGCCCCTGCACATCTCAAGTCTTTAAATGACATTGGCTCTCTAAACAGGCACAAAGTCCTAAATCTGTGTGCAATTCGCGGGGTGTCTTGGTCCTGTCTGAAAGGTGGTCCCATTTTTGGAAAGCATCTAGAAGCTTCTGAGTGCTTCTCAGAGTCCACCCCCCCAGCTGTGGCTTTAATAAAACAGCATTTGGGTGTCTGTGTCTCGCTGTCAGCCCAGTCACTTGTAGATTTTGTGTTCTGTTCTGGTTCTAGATAAGACCAAGGAGCATAGCTTTTTCATCACAGACTCCGACGCTTCGGGAGGAGACTTTTGGAGAGAAAGATCAGGTAGGCTGAGCCCACATAGTCCTCAGATGACAGGGAGAGGAGCTGGAACTCATAATCAAAAGCCTGGAATATTTAGCGCAAGGGTGAAGATACAAAACAATTCCTAGTAGATATAACTAAGAAAAACACAAATGGGAAAGCGGTGACGTTAATAGCAATAAGATTATTAATTGCTGGGCATATTTCAGAAGAAAATTCAGAAATATATCAGGTTACACAATGAAACAGGCTGGAAAAAGCATAAAATGACAATAATTGAAATGTTCTCTTGGAAACCTTCCATTAAAAAGGATCACAGCTTATTGCTTTTAATATCTGTCAGAAAGACATTAAAGGTGTTTTATGACATCTATGCCAACATTTATATTATCTCCATGATAATGATCTCTACACAAAATGTATAATACATTTACAAAAATTACATTATACAAATTAAATGAAACCACCTTTTACTGATTGCTAAATGTCTCAAGGGGTTTGGGAAAGACGTGATTAGAAGTTTTGATACTAAGTTGTCTATTGCAGTGTCTTAAGGAGAGGGTTTTGTTTCTTGGGAAAAAGGAATCTAATTTTCCATTTATGTAATGCAAACTGCCTTGGCTCTGACTATTCACGGTTAATTGACTGTCAAACGAGGTTGTTATCCCGCGGCAATGTCTGCAAATTTGCCTGTCAAATGAGACAGAGAGAGCAGGCTCGGAAGTGAGGGAGAGGGAGCCAGAGTGGTGTGGGGAGCAGAGAGAAAGAAAATAGGATCTTCAAGGAATCTTACAGCAGCGCGAAGTACAATGGAGAAGGTCTCCAAACCTTTGTTTTTATTTTCTCGTGAAGGGAACGTCTTCATATTTGGAAGAGCAAGCGGCAGCGGAAAGCGAATCGTTTTCTGTACCGTGGGAAGAAAGCTTTCTGTATCATCACATAGTTCCAAATTATTTCAGGACTATGGGCTAGAAATGTTGCTCAATGTCCAGTTGGATTGGCAATGCTAAGGAGCTACTGAGAATAATATGGGGGAGAGCGTGTGCCCTTGGATGGCGGTCCCACCACCTGTGCTTAAACACACAGTGCTGCCCCTTTGTGCCTTCACCTGTTTGTGAGCACATTTTAAATGTTCTCATTATCACCACTTCCACAGATTAAAGCCTTATGCTCTTTGAGAATTCATAAAATTACCTTCCAGAAATCTGCTCTGAGTGTCTGATATGATAAAACTGTTCGATGTGGATTTTGCTGTTAGGATCCAAAGTCACAAAGGCAATGATATTCGCCCAGGAACTACCTCCTCCCTAGTGTGATATTTCACAAAATTGAGGGCTGAAATGAAAAGCATTACTACCAAGGAATTTCTAATGGGCTTGCACACACACGCAAAAAGCGTTTATAATTCTGTTCGATTGGTTCTGTAATATCTCGCCATTTCCCAGGCATTTCTAGATAGTCAATTGCTTTTGTTTGTTTGATATGTGTAGAAATTAATAGCCACTGGAAACATTCATGAATATGAAAAAACAATTTTAGAAACCTTCCTTAGCCCCAGATCAAATGATATTTAGCAGCTCTGGATAGCTAAAAATAGATTTAGAAGTAGCCCAATTTCTCCCATGCCTGGAAACCACAGCTGGGGAGTCTATGTGGACTCTGGTGAATGCAAATTGACTGAGGCCCTTTCAGCAGCTGCAGTGGATCAGAGACCTTTGCTAGGTGCGTACTGCGCCACCCGTAAGCTCCTGGAGAATTCCCAGTCCCCTCCACCAAAATAGACCACGCTCAGGGAGAAGGGTGGAAAGCACCGTCACAACCAAGTGACACTGCCAATAACTGCCTTCATTTGAGGGGATTTTTTTTTTTGGTTTGGTTTTATTTTGTATGTGACCCCATTTTGTAAGCAGTCCCCAAGAAACCCGAAGTCCAATAAAATGAGAAAACTTGCATGGAGCAGTGACTATGTATTTTTTTTAATTGAAATAGCATAACCTATTCAGAGGCAGGATATGGTCCTTGCTTTCTGTTCACGAATCTTTAGATAGGTTCTAATTTGGTGTTGCTTGTTAATATTTAGTTACTGATATGCATTAATTTTAAGGTGGTTTTAAATTGTCTCCTGTTGGAAGTTTTTATTGTGGAATTAACTGTTGGCAATCATTCATAGTATGTATGTGTTGGAGATAAAATATCACATTTAGAAAATGAATCACACCAGCCCTCCCACTTCATTTAGTTGCTAGGTAAACATCAATCATTGTGTGTCTGCTTCTGTTACACTCTCACTCTGTGGAGTGTGGGCTTTTCAGGAAATTTAAAAATCTTTGTAAATATTCCATAGGTAAAATGTGCATAGCGTTTATATGTAAAGTGTGCGTAGCTTTTCAAGAAGTAACAATGATTTGTGTAAAACTGTGGGATCACTTGATGCTTAAAGCAGTTTCCATAGAGTCAGTGACAGAATCCAGATCCCACCATGTGAAATAATTTTTTTAAAGACTTATTTATTTATTTGAAAGTCAGAGTTACAGAGAGAAAGAGAGGAGAGACAGGGAGAATCACTTCACTTTTAGGAATTTGAATTTCATATACTGCATTTAGCAAACTAGAACTTGTAATTTTTTAAGAGTTATACGTTAACATGTCAGCAAACCCATTGGAAACCTAAATGTGTTAGAACAAACTAATTCCTTCACAGAGTTATAGTCTCTTTATTTCATGTTTATTAATGGTCTCTGTAGATTTGTTAAAACCTGGATATCTCTCTTTCATCTTGCGCTGACTCGGATGAGATTTGAAAGCAAGTTGTTGGTCTTGGAAAGGTGTTTACTTCCCCCTACTCACCCACAATCAAGAATGACAGCCGGAGTGGAAAAAACCACAGCGTCTGCTGTTGATTAATATTCAGATAGAAATGTAAATGCTGAGAGGAAGTCTGTAAAAGTATATTCAGGATCAGTGTTCACATAAACATTCCACACTGCCTGGAGCTCAGGGCAGTGCAGTCAATAGTTATGTAGGTAATAACACCTAGTAACACTAGGAGATATTGCTAGTCCCTTCCTCACAATAATTAATTTGATACAGGTTCCCAGAGAAACTTGTTCCACATTGATTTTCCATATCACAATTTCATTCTCACATTACTCAGGGAAGTATGTAGGGAGTGGGATAGACAATATTATTATCTCGTATTGAATGGGAGACAGGTAGGACGTGGAAGGGCTGGAAACATTGAAATGAGCTAACTTCGTGTGAAACATATATCTGGTTAAGTTTATATTGGAATCTCGGGTCACAAGAACTTCATGCTTATGATCCCCTTGCTGAACGTATAGAGACGGTATTTGAAATACACAGAGGTGTTTAGGGGTTTGAGTTGTTGTGGAACTTGACTTGGTCGATCTTCAGCCATCCTGCCTCGTAGGGAGGATAAGATTATGGTGTTCCCATTAAAATACACATTTGAAAAAATCCCAGAGTGGGCGCCCCATTGGCCTGCATTTTGATACTACTTTATTTACTTGTGGTCAGATTCCAAGAATCCACTTATTTGGCCAAGTGTCAAAAGTTGAGATGAGCCAAAGAGATTCTGAGCACTTGTGAGTAGCACTTTAGGAGAGGTGGCAGCCAGGGACACTCTCCGGTGATCCCTGTTGCTGGTAGAGATGGATATATTCATCTCTGTGCAAAAGCTCATAATAGCATTCATTTGTTTATTTCCTCATTTACGCTATAAATACCTTCAGATGCCTACTGTGTGCTAGGTCGTTTGCTAGGCTTTGGGGATTCAGCTAGAAATCAATACCGAGTTGCCCTCAAGCTGCTTCCAGTTGGGGAAGGGACATGTTAGCTGTAATGCAGTACGCATGCCATAATAATGCTGTGAGCATCGGTAAGGCTTCTATAGCCATGTGTCCCTTTAGCTAATGTTTAATTTGTAATCGCTATGATTGGAAAATGCAGATATTTAATTTCTATGCATATGCGCTTGAATATAGAACAATGAAATGTCTTCTCACACTGCCTAAGCCAGAGTGCGATTTCTGATTTTTAGATGAATTCTTCACTCCTGGGGCAATCATCCCTGTGGTTTATCGGGAATCTCTCTCACCTTTCTCTAAACAAGTAAGGATGTAGACAACTCTTTAGATGATAGACACCTACTTTAATTCAGCCCAGTACAAATTCAGCTCCTCATCAATATTGGTTCCAGTGGATTTTTTAGTTCATAATTTTAATGAAGTTTATCCTTCCTTCAACTTTTGAGACTTATTGATGACTGACTTTCAGCAGTTTCAAAGAGATTACATTTTCAAATGGCTTTTTTAAACTCTCCCTCTTAATGGTCATTAAACTTACAAGCAGTAGATACCGTGCTCCTGTAAAATTGGAAGGACCAAGCAGCCACGATTCCCCAGAAACCAGTGAGACTTTTATCTGTAGAGCTCTTTAAAATTAGACCCATGCTCAAAAGCAAATCAGAGAGTGTTGGGGCAGGGGAATGGTAGTTTGGTCAAAATATTACCTACTCAAAAAATAGAAATGACACTATTCCACTAGCAGTCCCCGAGTAAGGTTTTGCATACCCATTTGGAATAACCTCACTGAAGTTAAGTGATTTGAAATTGAATGCAGTGGGTTAAGCCGGCAAGACAGCTCAGAGCTATCGCAGGTCAAGGAAATCAGGAGGAGTGGAGTCACCCCCACTTCTCAATTCCTGTCATTATGGCCGCACCAGCACCATTGCACGGGGAGCAAGTGCGGCTGCATCTTGTTAGATGTATAGGAGTTTTAAAATCAATTTGACTTCCACTGGTATGATTCTCTAGTGTACTTAATAGGCTATGGGTGGATTTCTGAGAATAGTAAGAGGCAGTTACACTTCTCATGAATATATAGCGAATGAGGTACTCTGATTTATTATTCCATTCTATTTTAGAACGTGCTTATCATTTTTAAAAAAAAGCAAAAGAAGAGAAAGAGAAGTTCTTAAAAGCACAGACTGATAGATCTAG